GAGGGCAAAAAATAGGGGGGTAAGAAAAATATTCTAAAGAAATGGAAAAAATAAATAACTCAGATCTATAAACCCTAAAGGCCAGTTCAAGTTAGCGCAGGGTAGGCCTTAGACCCTGAATGACCCTAAATAAACACCAGCCCAAACCCTGAAGACCGGTGCAGGGTGGGTCCTCAACCGACCAGCCCAAGTTGGTCCTAACGACCCGAACAACCCCTCAACGCCAGGCAGGACCTACACATACCTATACAAACCCTAGACGCAAGCCAGGGCAGACCCTAAACCCCAAAGCCCCAAAGACCAGGTCATGGTAGGCCCTCAACCCGAAAACACGCTAAACCCTAAAGCCAAGCCCAAGCAGGCCCTAAACCAGAGCAGGGGGCAGCCCAGGTCGGCGAAAACCCTGTCCCAGAGTAGGCCCCAGAGGCCAGTCCAGATGGCTCATTTTCCAATCTAGGATTGAAATGGGTTTAACTTTGAGATACAGGTTTTCGAGCATAGTAGTTGTGTAGGGTTCGGGTGTAGTCCAGAGCTTTGTCGGGTTTTGGACGGAAATTGTCTGTTGTTGTTTTGCATGCGTGCCGCCTGCCCCAAACTGGCCAACTGCTATCTCCGCGCCTCTTGCACTTCCCTTCCGCAGGCCCCCATCTGTCCTGAGGAGTCGAAGCAAGCAGCTTGGGGTTCATGCCCCCTGTCCAATACCGTCGATTTGCGACGGATCCTCTGCGCTCGGACTGGCAAGCGTAAGGAGCCAAACCCATGTAAAATCGGTTACGCCAGTTGCCTGCCCTCCAAATAGGAGGCTTCCATTATCTGAACCACCTTGGTTTCTCCGACAACTAACTGTAGACCTTAACCCTGCAAGCCCCCGACTCAACACAAACGCGCAAGACACTACTGTAGGCCAAAAGGTCGCCTCGAGCCACGAAACCACGACAATAAATATCCCCCTGAACTACCTGCCGCTTTGAGATGCAATGATGACACCACCCAAGCCAGCAAAAGCTACATGCCAGCGTTTAGAGACAACACTACGCATTAGATTCTATCGGCTAGAGAAAATCTCTGGCCTCCAGGCATGCCAGACCTTCCCTCCCCAGGATTTGGTCAGTGCTGTCCTGTCGCATTCCCAAGTGCTTCAACATCCCCGTTTTGCAGTCGCGCCCCCAAAGCAGAGTCGGCGAGTGGGCCAGCACTCTGAGCCGGCTGCTCATTGCCACTCTTAGTTGGCAAGTTTTTTCTATTTACATTGTGAACAAGTGGATCAAGGGGATCAAGAACTGCCCATGAGCAGACTAATCACGCCCACTCAGGCCAACATCTTCGGCATTGACACTGAGGCCGAGCAACGCAGCCACCTCGAGCTCACAGCAATGCTGGAACACATACTGCGACGCTTCAACTCAGCAACCGACCACGAACACCGCGAGATTTGCTCCTCACATCTGCAGAGATGCCAATTCACAGAACTCTTCCCGATCGTCCTGTCCTGTCATGAAGGATACTCGCTTCCCAGTGTTCTCCAAGTCCACGAGCAAGCTCTCAACTGCACAAGCAGCAATGCCTCCGAACGAACTCTTGGCAGCACGATACCAATGCGAATCATGCTTTTTTTGCTTGGATCAATAGAAGTTGACTTACTTGATTGCGAACTGCCACCAGGGACACAAGCTTGCGAACGACCTGCCTGTGACAACGACAAAGAAGAGGTACTTCGTAAGCGACACATCAATGCCACCTAAACATCTTCCAGAAACTCAACAAATTTCTGAAGACTTTGGTTCAACATGTTTCAGCTACATACTAGCAGGCGTGTGCTGCCAGGCTGCCGCCCAGCTTTAACTTTGGATGGCGCAACTTCACCCCTTTCATAAGGCCGTACACGCTCACGAGCGCACCCAAACAGCCCCAGCCAAGGCTTACACAAAGCCCATTCCAGCCTTTGCAGCCACAGGGGCGATTTGAAGGTGAGTATGCACAACATGCTCTTCCGGCGTACGCTAGCATCTGCCAAGATCTGCCAAGGAACCATGGAAATATACCTTGGGAAAGCAAGTCAGGCTCAAGTGTTTATACTGGAGACCAAGCTGCAGAACCTGCCGCAGCACCTGCGAGCCAATCCGATCTAGGCAATCAGCACTTACTACCGGAAGCTATCAGCAACCAAAGACTTGGACTTGTCAAAGCTGTGGCGCAGATCCAGGTACAGCGGCAAGAACCAACAAAGCGAAAAGGTTGCGCGTTACCACTACTGTCTCGACCATTGCTCGGAAGGCCAGTTTGCTGTATCGCACAGCAATCGATGCAAAATATGTGCTGTTTTCAACCATGTTCATCAGGAGCTGGAGTAAGGCGAAGCCGGGCTTGGAAACAGGGAAGCTCGGCAATGAATTTTGACTATGTTTATACAATGTTCCCTAAGTTGTTACCCTGAGTCAGAGATAGATAGGCACCGTCACAATGCACAGCAACCTCTTTGAGCTGCAACATGGCTGCAATCTGTCATGTTCGTTTCTAATGCCTTACGAGAGATCCCGCAGCACAGCTGAATTCAAGATCCGGACAGTCGGTGTGCCACAGCGCCCACAACGCCATTGCAAGGCCGTCCATGCCTCGTCCCAACACGGTTCGAGAATGAATTATTGTTTTTGTCTTCTGTGTTTCGCTTCTCCTGTCCCAGAGCATCTGCAACTTTTCTCTTATTAAACTCTTTACCCGGCTATTCCTACATGTGCAGAAAAGTACCACAGATGCCATGCCTGGTGCCTCATAGTTATAATACAGCCCGACCGGATCCCGTTATTGGTTTAGTTTAATACCGGTTCAAGAGGAGCAAGTATGCAATAAGATAAAATATATCGAGAATACCTTTTAATTTACGGTGTTTCATGAGGCTTCCAAATAAATAAACAAAATATAGCCTTGGATCCAGGCAATACACGAATAGAGATATTCATAAAGGTAAGTCTTGGAGAGGTTAACCATGACTGCATCTGGACGGGCCTTGGCAATTTTATGTTTCCGAGATATGGTTTGTTTCACCTTTGACTCTACCATGTTGTGTTCTCGTGCGGAACAAACAAGCGTCCACAGCATCCTCCTCCCGAGTACTACTACTATGTTTAGTATTACTACTACTACTACTACTACTACTACTACTACTACTACTGCTACTGCTACTGCTACTAAACTACTACTACTACTACTACTACTACTACTATTGCTACTGCTACTATTTCTAAACTACTACTACTACTACTACTACTGCTGCTACTACTACTACTACCACCACTACCACCACCACTACCAGTGCTGCTGCTACTGCTACTACTACTACTACGACTACTACTTTACGACTACGACGACGAC